CTCGGGGTGTCCACGGCATCGTTGGGGTTAAGCCACTTAGCTATGGAGACAAGTGAATGCGCAACAAGGGATCTCTAACCTTCAAACAGTTGAGGGAGAATACTCTATGATATGATTTGGAATCTCTGGCCAGAGTATGAATGAGATTGGGGAATGCGTTCCAAATCACATTCAAGGAAATCATATAAGCAAACGATTCACATTGGATAGTAGACATGAGTAAATAAACTATCATACCAAACAATGTGGTCAAGAGTATTAGATTAGAGAAGGACCGTATTGCATTTGTAATCCCGAACTGAATAGGTTCTCCACCTCTTCTGATTAGCTTGGGTAACCATGATATGCTGCTAGGTGTCACTCATGGTTTGTGGAAGCCCTAAACGTGTGTAATCACTAAAGGGAGAATTGAAAATAGTTTCAATTCACAATCGATGTAAAATGGTTTTAATCGCCCACTACCTCGCTAAAAGGAACCTAATGGATCGCACACCGTAAAAAGGTAGAGATTGGAGATTAAACGGAAATGAGTAAGAATGATTAAATGGTTTAATCATTTAATTATGGCAAGGATTAATTAATATGTTAATTAATCAAACGAATAAGTTCGTTAAAGACTTCGGGATAGTTTTGGACCTTAAGGCCCAATGGGCTTCGAACGTCAAGCCCATTAACTTAAATTGTATGACAATTTAATGAATAAAGATTCATTAAAGCCCAAAAGCCCAAACATCCCTAAATGGCCGGCCATATTAGATGAATTAGGGTTTTGGTTGTTTAGGTTACTTAAAGAAGTGACTATATAAATGACTTTATAGCCAAAATTCATTAAGGAAAAATTAAGGGTTTATTTTGGGGAAAATTGGTGAGAATTGTCTCTCCATTTTCTCTCTAAAGAGGCCAACACCTTGGAGGGTACATCTAGCAATCCTACTACTCCAAGGTCACTCATTTCTTCTACAATCAAACCTTGGTGAAGAGACTTAGAGGTTCCCTATTTTGGGAACTTGGAGAAACCTATTTTCCATCCAAATCCATGGATCTAAGAAGCAAGGAATGAAGGCCCTATCTCTTTGGGTGATTAGCCTTTGCTTATGCAAAGAGGAATCTACAAAGGTAATAATTTCAACTCACTTTGTTTTGAGATGATTATTGGTTCACCAATCTACTAGGCTTTGAATTTCATGGTAATGTTTTGTTTTTGAGTGCATGCAAGCATGATTCCGCCTTTTAATTGTTAATTGCATGCTATATGATGTTGCTCAAATGAACATGTTTTTCAAAATAAATCCTTCAGGAAGGACGTGCTTGTAACCCAACTAGTAATCTAGTATTAAATCCTATTGTTATTCAGAATGATGCGTCAGCTGTACCAAACACCGTGAAGCTAAATAGATCGAATTATCCTCTTTGGTCCAAAGTTTTAGAGATGCACATCGCTAGACACAGTAGGAAGGGCTTTGTGACAAGGAGTACTAAGGAGCATACTGAGGATAGTGTTGAGTATGAGACATGAGAGATCTATACATCGACAACCATAACCACATAGAGCCAAGGGGACTCACCCTACACGTGGTAATACAATACGAGCCCTCTCCCTGGCTCTCATACCATGTAGAATTATCATTGAGACGTGGCAACAACATTGATACTGTCCCCAACTTGGTAATTACCACATGCACAATCCGTCAAGTGTGGGGTTTTATCATAAATGGCCTCGGTATTAGTTGGAGTGGGGTTAGGATATTTAAACTACTCATTTCTTATTGATACGGTCGATGTGGGACATTTCAATAGGTTCAAGGAGGAAAAGGCCAAGATTGTTAATTGCGATGATGCGATAGCCAATACAACATTTAGAAAATGAACTCATAGCAAACCACCCCTTAATCGGAAAGCTGATCATTTGAAGGGACATAACCCTGGTGAACCCTTTTTATTTGGCTAAGAACTACTCACTTTGGGACGATGCCAAGCCAGCTAAGAAAGCACTTAAGCAACCTCAGAAGGATTCGAGGTTAGTTTAAAAAAAGGCAGATGAGAAGTATTCCGGACATCAAGAGAAAGTCAAAAACAAACTTAGGGACTGGTCCTCGACAAAATAAGGCTCAACACCCAAGACATTTACAAAGTTCTTAATCTCGATCAACCAGATACTTCGCAATCTCAAGAGCAAACCACGGTTCAAGTTGCCACCACTTTCGAAGGGAAATACATCAAGGCTAGACCACTCGAAGTATTGCACATTCCACCGAGGTCCAAGTCACATGACGGGCTCTTGTTACAAGTGGAATGAGTACCTTCAAAAGGTGGTAAAGAAAGGCTAGCGTGACAAATGCCTTGATAAGTCAGCAACGTAGCATAAGCGAAATGCAAAAGCTGACGCCAAACCCTTTACCAAGGTGATTTGAATGAATGACATTTTCACCAAGCCCAAGTATATGGGGACCACTAGCATTTTTAAGAAAATGAAGGTCCAACTAGAGAAAACGGTCTTCCACGTTCAAGCCATATATGTTGTACAAAGTAAGACACCGAAAGAGGAAACTTTAGTCATGTTAATTTTGACCTAGTTGTTGTAGCTTAGAAGCTCAAGTCATACTTTAAAACGCATATAGTCATCATCATGACCCAGTATCCCTTGCGATCATTCCTGCACAATCCAAATACCTCTTAGCAAGTAATCAAGTGGTTGTTAGAAGTTGGTCAAAACACCTAGTCTACCGACCCCACATGGCGATAAAGGCCTAAGCACTGGCGGACTGCATAACGAAGTTTATTCCTAATTCGACGAAAGCAACAACTTAGCGAAACATGCCTCTAGGCCAGACGACCATCACAAGGATGCACCAGCTTACCCTGCAGAAGACTTTTAGTGCTTGTATGTTAATGGTTCCTTCAACTACCAATGATAAGGAGCAGGTTTTGTCTTCATTACCCCAAACCGTTCGATACTCGAGCAAGCTATCACTTTAGGCTTCTAGGAGTCCAACAACGAAGCAGAGTAATGAAGCAGATTACAAAGCCTTACTAGCAGGCCTCTTTCTGGCGAAAGACTTTGCAGTGACGAAGCTTGTAATCCATTCAGATTCTCAGCTAATGACGTACCAAGCCTTAAGGAGAAACATCAAAGGATGGCGCGATACCTGGTGAAGGTTCTAGAGAAACTTGTCGCATTTACGACTTACACCCTCACGCAGGTTCCACGAGTAAAGAATGCCCATGTGGATGCACTAGCAAGCTAGGCTTTGCCCTCGATCATTAGCTCAAACGCGCTATTCTAGTTTAGTACTTGGATAAGCCAAGCATAGATATAGAACCAGCAACATTGATACATGAACTTTTACTAGTGAATGACGAAAGGGCCCCTATTAAATTAACGAAGGCTCAGATTTAATCAGCACGCAGCTCAACATCCTGAAGGCCTAAGCAGTTGACTACAACCTCATCAAGCTTTCCTGCCCATGGTAAGGAGAAAAGTTAAAGGTATTAAGGATTTATTACCGAATTTCATATTTATACTCTTCAAATTGAGGTTTAACTCCATCAAGCAAGGAATCACAACCATATCCAGTCAAAAATATTTCAAGATAATCCTAAAATATTATTTATTGAATATTATCTTGGGGATAATTTTTTCCTCTTCCATCCTATGGATGACACACCTTGGCCAACTGGATGCCGACACATGTCATGCCAAACCGCACACAGTGGTCGGCCTAGCTCCTCTAAATATCCTCCATAAAACTCTTGTAAGCTTTTGCTACGCAATCCAGACATAAACTCTCTCTCAAAACTGACATAAGTATCGGAGATCCATTGGCCAAATCCCCCTTCTTCACCTCATGGGCGTGTGTGGCTTTGGTTCTTTGATCAAAGGTGTTAATGTGTTTTATAAGTACAAAATCGTCAAGACCGAAGATGGCAAAATTTTTACTACCACAATCCCCATATATATAAAACCCCAAATAAAAAATAAAAAATAAATTCTTGTAATCTTCGTGCAGGATTTGGGATATCATGTTTCAATAGGGTTAGTGATAGAGTTGAGATTTGTCTAGTTTTAGGGGCTTTTAGATTTTAGGGTTTAAATAAAATTCTTTTTAGATTTTAACCTAAATGGTTTTTGAAATCTAACTTAAGTCCTTATTTTTAAAATTTACAATATTTAAGTAATTATAGCACATTTATTATTTAAGTAATTAGTGTATTTTTTTGGCTCCTCCAATCATATTAATAGGTAAAAAAATTTATTCAAAATTTAAATCTTATAATTAAAAAAAAAGTCAATAATAAAAAAATAATTTATGTTTATAATAACTTATAGGTACAGAAGTTTCAGTACGTAAATTTTAGTACAAAAAAATTAATACAATAGATCGGTATGAGTGTATAGGTACATAAGTTTCAGTACGAATATATATGTACAGAAGTTTTGGTACGAATATATCGGTACATACCTATAGTGTCTAAACATAAATAGGTGCATAATACGCATATAACTCTATATGGAGAAAGTCGCACATAATGAAAAATAGATGATAATCTATGAATTTTCTTATTATGGGAACTGAATAATAATTATCAATGATAAATAACATTTTTATTGTTTATGAAAATCAATATATAACCTACACACAAAAACTTAATAATTATTACAACCTAATTAATATTCAAAAATTAAAATTAAATGTCAAGGACTATTGTTGATTTTTAATCTTAGACAAGATTTTATTCAAAAATTAAGATGTCTCAAGGATTGAAATAGAATTTTCCGTATTGAAATAACAAATGATGCATACAACTACAATCATTGAGATAAAAAATTAATTGTGACGTGTGGCCATCATTTATCACATCAAATAATACACTATTGTAATGTGAAAATGATGTCTCCCTAATATTTTTCTTTAATTTATGATGCCGCGTGAAGCATCCATGTCCTTTACAAGGGTCCCTTCCTTTTCTCAAGTTGTATACATGCTGCCAACATTGACCAAAAAAAAAAAACAGATGCTCTCAACATCTATAAAGAATGATGCATACTGCGTCCAATTCTCGCCATTCAGTAGCATACGGTTTCAAGATTATTGTGAGTTCTTCAGAGAAGTTTGAGAGTTCTTCAGAGAAGTTTGAGCTTGTTTTCCTTGAGGATACAAGTGCTGCTTCCACACCAAGTCCATCTTTGTACCTGCAGGAAACAGAGACTGACAAACCGTAAAGTTTCGAACCTTTTATTTCCTATTATATTTTATGTGCAATAATTTATATTGTAAAGTGTAAAATTCTGTAAATATAGCAAGTGTCGTTTAGTTTATTAACTTCAACGTTAGAAATACTTCAAAAGTTGTAAATCAATGAACCTTTTGTTGTTAATATATAGTCACCAACAAAATAATTAATTATATTCAGTTGAAGTGTTTTGAATTTTTCAGGAGAATACGTTTGCCTTTCGGAATTCAGAAAATGGAGAAATCAACAATGTTTGTTGTACTATTGGTGTTGCAACTTTTTGTCCATCTTCAATTAGAGGTTCACTCGTTGGCCACTCTTTCTGAACATGGTAAAATTAATTATGTAAATGAGAATTTTTCCCTTAAAACTCATTTTCTCTCTGCTTCAACCCATCATATTTACTTTTCATGAGAAAAACTCATTGACTAGGCTCCAACAAAGCAAGTTTCCTTAACTGGCTTGATGACTTCGATTATTTATAATTTCTCTTCTAAGAATACCCCGTTATAATTTAACATAATTTTAGGGTAGAATTTTGTGGAATTTAATGCTATTTGTCACTAACTGATTGCTTTCTCAAACATTTTTTATCTCTCACATTAGTGTTTTAAATATTTTACAATCTGTCACTTTTATTTCAAACTTGTTCAAAATGCTTTTCCAGTCTGTCAGGCGTTTGTTCATTCAATTGTTGGGAGTTCTATGGGATTGGTTTTTCATCGTTTGAGATCTATCAGATCCTGTTTCAGGCTTTGATTTGTTATGTTCACAGTTTTTTTTAATTCCTCGGTTTGCTTCATTCCCTCTATAAATGTTTGTTACTTTTTTGTTACTCATCATTTTTTGTTACTTTGATGTTTTATATTTGTATTTTATTAAAAAATGGAAGAATATATGCATTAATTTGCTTATCAAATATATGAAAAACAATTTACCTATACCATGTAACCAATTATATACGACAAGGGAACCAACTCTTTTCTTCTTTTGAGGATGCATATGGAAAAATGGGTGAACATTTTTACCAAAAATATATGAGAAGGGAAAGTATCACACAAGTTTACCATCTTTGTATGATATATCTCCCATTTACAATGTAAACTTTCAAGAATTTTTCAGCACATAAGAACTCTTACAAGAAATCGTCTTTACAACAAAAATTAAAGCTTTTTGTCAAGAAAATAAACTATACAGATACAAAAATGCACGGTTGCAATCATGAAAAATAGCATGGCCACCTTACAAAAAAAATACACTTGCACCGCCCCCCCCCCCTTCCCCCATGGCTACCTTACAAAAAAAATACGCTTGCACCGCCCCCCCCCTCCCCCTCCCCCCATGGCTACCTTACAAAAAAAATACGCTTGCACCCGCAACCCCCCTCCCCCCAACGACAACCACAAAAAAAAAAAAAAAAAAAAAAAAAAAAAAAACTTGATTGCCATAAACCTCTTTTTCCTTTGTTTTGTTTCGTACACATAACACACACATGGGCTAGAAAGGTGCTTTTTTGCATGCAATATTCTCTTAAATCCTAAAAATTTGAAATCAAATGAAAAATAATTGCATAAATCAATTCATACCTAGGTGGAAGATTTAAAACTTCAAAATCACCATCCATCGGTCAAAAAGAGCTTGTTTTTCTCGATGAGAGAACCTTGAATTTTGGTCATAATGAACATAGAATAAAGATTGCATGATGGTAGTGTTTAATTACTCGGTGTGTGTTCATTGATAAATTTTAGTTTTATTGTTAATTTCATCTTGTACTTGACGGTTTGGGATTCGGGGTCTCTATGATGAGATCTAATGATGTTCGTCCTATAATTGCCAAAAAATTCACTGACAGCACTGCATAATAGTTTGTTAGTTTTTGATCCAAGGTCACGCAGAGAACACACTAACGCATTTTCTAATAATGTAAGTCAGATGTTGAGTTTTGCTGCTAGTTATTTCTTGAGAATTCTATAAAGACTTGTATTATATAAGCATATAATTATCCTTCAAGTGACATTTGTGACAGGTGGTTGTGTAATTCATGTTATAATCATATTCTTTTCTGTTCAAAAAAAATTTAAAACAAAATATATTAAGGTTATTTTGAGAATAATAATAGGTGGAGAAATAATATTTTACTTTTTTAACTTTTTTATGGGGTGGGTCTAGTAGTACTCTTTAAAAGTTGGGTTTTAATTAGAAGCAATTAATAGATGGGTTTTTGTGTAAGACTATTAAATTTGCAAGGCCTATTTCTTAATGACCCAATTAATTACGTAAATGAGAAAAACATAAAGATGCCCACGTAGATGTTGTCACTTCTGCAACCTATTTCCTTCCTATTTACTAAAGAAAATTCTCTCACTTCCCATTTTGCAGATTTTAGCTACTCAAAATCTGTGATTAATGCCACTGATCTTCCACTAGAAGAAGTGTATGACTACATTGTAGTTGGAGGGGGTACCGCAGGGTGTCCATTGGCAGCAACTTTATCATCAAAGTATTCGGTGCTCGTTTTAGAAAGAGGAAGTTTTCCTACATCATATCCGAATGTCTTGACTCAAGAGGGGTTTATATATAATCTCCAGCAAGAAGATGATGGAGAGACACCAGTTCAAAGGGTCATGTCAGAAGATGGCATTCCTACTGTTAGAGGAAGGATCCTTGGCGGCACGAGCATGATCAGTGCTGGCGTATACGCAAGAGCTAACATTTCATTCTTTAATGAATCGGGAGTTGAATGGGACATCAATTTGGTTAATGCGACATATGAGTGGATTGAAGACACTATTGTGTACAAGCCAAATGCATTCGCTTGGCAAACTGTTACACAAAAAGCTTTTTTGGAGGCTGGCGTTTTACCAGAAAATGGATTCAGTTTGGATCACGTACCTGAAACAAGAATCACTGGCTCAACTTTTGACAATAGTGGAACGAGACATGCGGCTGATGAACTACTTAACAGAGGAGACCTAGACAACTTGCGAGTTGCAGTTCATGCCAACGTAGAGAAGATCGTCTTCTCTTCTAGTGAATCAAGTACGTTGCATCTATGATACTTAAAACAGCTCTAAGTTTCTCATTCTGCACTTTAAGATTAACAATTTATTGTTTTAACCCATTAACGGAATCAAGGAAAGGCCAAACACTGGATGGGAGAATAAATTAAGCTACTGTATTCTTTGGATGAATCCAGGGTACCCCCGCACGTAGGCGATGACTAATCCCTCGAACCGGGTCGGACCCCATTCAGGGTGCAAACTCTCCCAATGCTAGCTTCTCCATTCACAAGGCTCGAACTCGAGACCTTGCTTAAGGAGAACAAGCTCCTTGCCATTTTAACCTTCGTTATAGTAGTTACATATTAATTATAAGCTATTTTATAATGCAGGATTGTCAGCTACAGGAGTCATATATAAGGATTCTAACGGAATTTCTCATCGGGCATATGTACGCGATCAAGGTGAAGTTATATTGAGTGCAGGGACAATGGGGACCCCTCAACTTCTACTACTCAGTGGCGTTGGCCCAGAGTCTTATCTATCATCTCTTGGAATACCAGTTGTGCTTGACCATCCTTACGTTGGACAGTTTCTATACGATAATCCTCGTAATTTCATTAACATTTTGCCCCCAAATCCAATAGAACCCTCAATTGTAACAGTTCTAGGCATTAGAGACGATTTCTGGCAATGTTCTATCTCGTGCGGACCACTTACTGCTCCACCCTATAGTTTATTTCCTAGTCAGTCTTATCCCCTGCCAATAAATTCAACTTTCGCACACATTCCTAACAAAGTGCCAGGACCTCATTCTCATGGTTCTCTCACGCTAAATTCATCTTCTGATGTGACAATTGGTCCAAATGTTAGATTCAATTACTTTTCAAATGCGGCGGACCTTGCTCATTGTGTTAGCGGCATGAAACAAATTGGTTATTTATTAAGGACTAATGCATTTAAACCATATAAAACCCAAGATTTACCAGGTATAGAAGGTTTCACCTTTTTGGGACTACCTCTGCCAAATAATCAAACAGATGATGCACTCGAAACATTTTGCCGAGATTCATTGGCCTCATATTGGCATTACCACGGTGGATGCATTGTTGGAAAGGTGGTTGATGGTGGTTTGCATGTTAATGGAATTGATGCATTACGCATAGTTGATTCTTCCACATTCCCTGTCACACCGGCGAGCCACCCTATGGGCTTCTATCTGATGTTAGGCAGGTATATGATGTATACTTGCAACAGCTTGAAATTTTCAAAACTTATTTGGTTGTATGAATTGCTCGTTTTCGTTACTTTCAACTTTTGTTCTTTGGGCAGGTATATGGGTCTTCAAATTCTGCAAGAGAGATCAGCTTGGGTAGGTATGTCATGCATGGACGGGGCCATGCAAAGCCTACAGCGGGGCATCTGCCCCCACCCAATGAATTTTGAAGAAAACCTTGAAGGGGTCAATTGTCAATCAACTCTAATATAATTTCCTTTTAATTCTTATAATTTACAGCTTTCTGTAACCTGTTTGAACTATCATATATATAGTTTTTCTACTTAATATGTTTATTGCATGCCCTTATACAACTTGAAAATGGCTCAGTACAATTGTAAATCTGTTGTTTGGTAAACGAATTGAATCAAATATTATAAGATATTGTGTTTTATCGTTTTGTTGATTGTTTTAGCATAATTATGCACTGTCTTTACTTTTCAATGTTTGATAATAAACCCCATTCTTTATTGGGGATTAAGTTTTGGCTGCAAGAAAGGGGTTTCTCATGTTTTTTTCACGCAAGTAATATGTTGTATATCTAAACCACCTATTAATAAAATTCTCTTTATCAACTAAAATAGGATAAAAAGACAATTTGATCTTAGATCATAAAATAAAATTATGGGCAATAATGTAATTTCACACAAACCAAATTTTGTAGTTTTTTTTTTTTCAAAAACTTCACTCACTTGTCATCATAACATATCTTTAAGGGTTTTTATCACAAATGATTCCTGAAATTAACCCACCTCATCAAGATGGTTCTTGAAATTGAAAATCGATCAATGTAGTCCTTGAAATTAGATGTCGCAAATAAATATGGTCATTCCGTCACAATTCCGTTAAAAATTCCGTTATGTGCTAAGGTGGCACATAAGTGAATCCCACAATGTAATTAAATATTGTCAGGTGGATTAAAAATATTTAATAATAATTAAAAAAATTATTTTATACAATTAAAAACAAAAAAAAAAGGAAAAAAAGAAGAAGAAGATGACTGTTCATCATCTTCTGCCCCTCCTACCCAGCGACCCACCAATCTTCTCCCACTGAAACGGCACCGTCGCACTCGGTTCCTGCTATTCTCATGTTCCCAGGTGATGATAATTCGAAATGGAACCTCCCCGATGTTGATCAACCAGGATGTGCAGGCATCCCAGCTTTTACCAACCAAGGGCACCTTTTGTAGAGGAGACAGTGGGGTGTTTGTGTGACTTGGAAGAGTTGTAATCCTTTGTAACGTTAAAGACATAAGAGAAATGGTGGTCACGTTTTACTCAAAATCCTTAGTTACGTGACACATCATCACATAACAGAAATTTTAACGGAATGACCACATTTATTTGTGACACTCATTTTTAAGGACTACATTGATTGATTTTTAATTTCAGTGACCATCTTGATGGTGTGGATCAATTTCAAGGATCATTTGTGATAAAAATCCTATTTTTAATTAAAAAAAAAAAAATATATATATATATATATATAAACCTCTCTCTACTACCACATTTTCTTTCTCTCTCTCTCTCTCTCTCACTCCCTCTCTCTTAGGGCTGGGCACATATCAAGCCCAATTTTGAAGGATCCGGACCGGACCGATGTTTAAAAGAAACAGGTCAGTCCAGGACGGGTACAACAGATTTTAAAACAAAAAACAGACCTAACCGGGCCGGGTACAAAGGGTCCTCTTACGTTTTTTTTTCTTTTTTCGGTTTTGATACAAAGCTCCAAAACCCAAAAAAACTGAGTCTACAGAACATGATTGTGACGATCTCACCAAGCTTGAGCTTGTAGAGGATAGTGGTCTTACCGGCTTCATCATGACCAACCATCAGAATTCGCATCTCCTTCTAGGTAAAAAGCCGGTTGAAAAGCTTTGTGAATGTAAGCCCCATTTCTGGCTACGGATCCCTACATATCAAAACACCAACTCACTTACATCACAGATCAAACAAATCAAACCCCGGCAAGGCCAAATGTAAAACACTTTAAAGGCAATCATTTGCAAGTTCCTATTATCTCATCCAATAACACTTTGATGCATTCAAACTAGTAACTATGTGGTAGGTTCCAGTAGCACCAAAGAGAGAATTGCAAAGAAAATGAAAATAATAGAGGAAAGATAAAGCAATTTTCATTCATATCCCAAAAAGGTATCATGATGGGTATTGTATACCCACATCAGACACTACAGACAAAGGAGTTAGGTACACAAGTGCTGAGTCACTACTTTATATTACTCCACTACTAGACAAGGAATTAACAAAAGGGAATTGGCATGGTTTAGAATCCTAACAGGGCACCCCCCTTAAGAGAAAGCCTGTCCTCAGGCGTTAAAGTTTGGGAAACGGCTCACAATGGAATCAGCATCTTCCCAAGTAGCATCGTGTTCCGGTAAACCTTACCACTTGATTAACCAACGAGTGACGACCTTGGTGCCTCGTTTGAACATACCGCGCTGCAGGATCAGCTCTAGAAACCACAGGAATGAGCCATCTGCGACTACAGGTGGCAGTGTTGCTGAAGCAACAACATGTGTACCAATTTTAGGTTTGAGCAATGGCTCGTGAAAAGTGGGATGAATGCGGGATTGCGGAGGTAGGTCCAGAGTGTAGGCAACCTGTCCGACGCGAGCTATCACCTGGAAGGGTCCGTAATAGCGATGAGCGAGTTTGGGGTAATGATTCTTGGACACGGATGTCTGTCTATAAGGCTGAAGTTTGAGAAAAGCCCAATCACCGACACTGAAGGTCTTTTCCGACCTATGTTTGTCAGCTTGTTGCCGTATTCGATGCTGTGCCACATTCATATTCTCACACAGGTGTTTGAGTAGAGTTTCCATGTCTTGCAGAATGACGTCAACTAAGTAGACTGGAGAAGAACCTAGGAGATAGGATGACACTTGTTGTGGGGAATAGCCATAAACAGCTTAGAAGGGTGTCATCTTGATCGTCGATTGGAAAGTAGTGTTATACCACCATTCAACCTATGAAAGCCATTTCATCCAAGTGTTGGGTTTGTCCATCACAAAGCTCTGCAGATAGTGCTCCAATGTTCGGTTAAGGACCTCGGTTTGCCTATCAGATTGGGGATGATAGGCCGAGCTTTTGCAAAGAGCTGTTTGTTGGTGTTTGAAGAAAGCAGTCCAAAATTCACTAAGGAAAATTGGGTCACGGTCACTGACAATGGACGCCGGCATCCCGTGCAATTGGAAAACTTCTTGAATGAACACATCTGCAATGTGGGGAGCGGAATATGGGTGCTTGATAGGAATGAAGTGCCCGTATTTGGAGAGACGATCAACCACAACCAAGATAGCATTCCGACCATGGATTGAGGGAAGACCTTCCACGAAGTCCATAGAGATATCTGTCCATATTTATGTCGAAATGGATAGTGGCTGCAAGGCACCAGGTGGCTTAATGCTTTCATAATGAGTGCGTTGGCACACATCACAGGCAGCCACAAAGCTCTTGACATCTTTTTTTAGTCCATTCCAGTTTAAGTTATTAGTGAGGCATTTGTAGGTGCGTAAGAACCCGCAGTGCCCCGAAGAAAGAGAAGCGTGGAATTCCTTGAGAAGTTGGGGTCGCCATGGGGATGTAGCTGGAACAAAGAGACCGGATTTGTAATAGAGGAGGTCGCCTTGTAGTCGAAATGACCCTTTACCTTGAGGGTCTTGTTGCAAGGTCATAATGATGGTAGATGCGTGAGGGTCTGCCACATAGGAGGCTTGAATTGCTGCCACGCAGTCAAAGAGGGGTTGCGAGAGTCCCATTAATGAGAGGAGTTCGGGCCGACGGGACAAGGCATCAGCAGTGGCGTTGGAAGCCCCAGAGCGATAAGCTAAGGTGTAGTTGTACCCAAGGAGTTTCAGCAGCCATTTTTGTTGTGCAGGAATGGTGATGCGTTGGTCCAAGAAGTATTTGAGTGTTTGATGGTCCGTGAGGATGGTGAAATGGTGGCCAATTAAATACGAACCCCACTTTTGGATTGCATAGACCACGGCCAACATTTCCTTGTCATATACCGAGAGCGAGTGGTGTTTGGGCACTAATGACTTGCTTAGGAACTCGATTGGGTGGCTATCTTAGGAGAGCACGGCCCCAAGGCCGACATTGGAGGCATCACACTCCAAGGTGAAAGACTTGGTGAAGTCGGGGAGTGCGAGTATTGGGGTGGTTGACAGAGTTTCCTTAAGGGTTGAGAAGGCCGTTTCTGCTGCTAGAGACCATAGGAAGTTGTCCTTCTTGAGTAAGTCCGTGAGGGCCTTCACAATGAGCCCAAAGTGGCGGACGAGCTTGCGATAATAGTCGGTGAGGCCTAAGAACCCACGCAAAGCTCCGACGATCGAAGGAGTTGGCCACTCAATAATAGCTGCTGTTTTAGAGGGATCAACAGTAACTCCTGAAGCTGAAATTATATGACCCAAATAAGCAATGGCATTCTGTCCAAACAAGCACTTAGATGGTTTCAACAGAAGCTGGTGCAATTGGAGAATGTCAAAGACAACGGCCAAATGAGAAACATGGTGGTCTAAGGAATCACTGAAGACCAAGATATCATAAAAAAAAACAAGAACAGATTTCTTGAGGAGAGGCTTCAAGATTGAGTTCATTAGTGCTTGGAAGGTGGCCAAAGCATTTGTAAGGCCAAATGGCATGACAGTGAACTCGTAATGGCCCTCATGGGTGCGGAATGCAGTCTTGTGTATGTCCGGTTCGTACATACGGATTTGGTGGTAATCGGAACAGACATCCAGTTTAGAAAAGACGATCGCACTGTGCAACTTAGCCAAAAGCTCATCAATAATAAGAAGGAATCCTTGATGGTTGCTGCATTGACCGCTCGATAATCCATACAAAAACGCCAAGAATAGTCGCTTTTAGCCACCAATAAAGCCGAGGAAGAAAAGGGAGTCATGCTGGGACGAATGAGACTGGCAGATAGCATCTCTTATACTTGGCGCTCAAGTTCTGCTTTTTGGGCATGCTCGTAGCGGTAAGGCCGGACATTAATCGGTCTTGTGCCCAGCAGCAAAGAGATGCGATGATCAACAGTACAGTGTGGGGGTAAGGAGCTTGGTGGTTGAAAGAGCTTTGGGTACTGGTTAAGGAGAACTTGAATATGTTCTGGGGTTGGGGAAGGAGGCTGGTCATATGTGGTGAGGCTGGAAAGGTGAGGGAGGGCATGGAAGACAGATACCTCATAAATAGGGGATGCAAAGGCGGGCAAGGTGGAAGTCCCTACCAACCGATAATTTGTTCCGTGGATGGAGAACTCCATAACTTTAAGCAAAAAGTTCCAGCCAATGAAACCTAAGGTTTCGAGCCAATCCACTCCTAACACCATGTCGCAATCCATCACTACGAGGAGGTGGAAGTCACTAGTGA